GGATCCTCATGTATCTCAGGGGAACTTTCAAATTGTGTTTGTGTTTCAGCAATAACAATACCATGCTAAATTGTACATCAATGTACATATGGCATGTGATCTTGACAACAAGAAGTCTATATCTGGGTATTTGATGATTTTTGCAAAGGGAGCAGTGTCATGGCAAAACAAGTTGCAAAAACGTATGACCCTTTCTGTGAGGACTCGCAAAAAAAAAAAAAAAAAAACTATTATTTTATGCCTAATTTATGGCTTAATAAATTATTTAATTGGATTTTATTTCCAAGGAATATTTTCTAGTCTTATTAGACCTAAATACATGGTAATATAACTTCGTTATATTTTTAAAATGATTCGTTTCGAAAATTAATTCCTAGAGCGCGTTTCGTAAAAATAGTGAATAGTACTTGGAGATTTTATCCGCGTAGTAGCACAATAAGCTTGGAATATTGGAGACTTGTACTATGGTCCTAAAATAGGTAATCTTATGAATAAATATTCAAGTGATAGTTAGTAGTGTAATCGTTATAAGAATTTTCGAAAGTTTCGCGTTATAGCGTTAAATTGACGGTACGCGTTTTCACCGCGCGACTTCGATTGAGGGACTTTAGACCCTTATTTCGGGACAATTAAGAGTGAATAATATTTACAGAATATATATGCTTGGAGGTTTAGTGCACTAGTGAACCAAACGCACGAGAAAAATCGAGTCCAAACGCATCCTAATTGCACTATTTCAAGTTGACTTTGAGATGCATTTTGCACCACACAATGAATCTTCTTAGGAAGCCACAATTGAACCAACACTCCTTCTCTCCTCACTTCACTTGGCCGTGCAACAAGAAAGGAGAAGAGCTCTCCATTGTTCTTCATTTTTCATCTTCAATTCATGCACCAAAATTCATCCAAATCACACCAAACTTGGAGACCACTTAGCAAACCCCTTGGAGATTATATCTAGCTAAGGAAGAGGGGAGCTTTCACGGTTTCTTGGAACTTTAAGAGGGCCGAAAATTCTGATCTTGCAAACCAAAGGAGTAGGTAATGATCAACCCATGGATTCTTATCTTTTAGAGATTATATGGCAAGATTTAACTCATGCATGCACTTAGTTACTTGATTATGGTGTAAAAATGTGATTGTGGGCTCTTGGAATTCCCACACTTGGGTTGTTGTTGTTGATTTGATGATTGATGGTGATTATATTGTTGGTTTAGTGATTATAATGATGCATTAGTGGTGGGTAATTAGTAGGAACTTCATTGGGTGTAAGAAGCAAAAACTTCCGATTCTACCCCTGTTTTATTCGGCCATTTTAAGGCCAGTTTTTAATGAACTAATGGCTTGAATTGGATGCCTATATGATGTATTAGAGGTGTGGAAAATTTCATTGAAAAATAATGAGGTTTGGTTGGGCAAATGAAATTTTTGTTCGAAACTAGCAATCTGGAAAAACTGATTCGCGTATGATCTGACCAGTGGTAGTATTTTGGCCATAACTCTGTCCTCGGGTGTCGAAATCAAGTGCCGTCAGTGGCGTTTGAAACTAGACATTCCTAGCTTTAATTTGAGATAAAATCACGTTCTGATTCTTTGTGAGTGATCCGAACCAAACGTTTTAAGTTAGCTGTCCTGTCTCTCGGATTTGCTGGAATGGCTTGTTGAGGCAGCAACTTGAGGCTCAATTTTGAGCTGGTTGCTTGCCGAATTTCAGAACATTTCCTTCTGTGAACTTTTAGTCCCGTGAATGTATTTTCTAACGCCATAAACCATGCCTCATTCCGAGTTAAATTGATTGAGTTGTGACTAAAACAAGAGGACTGCCCTGTTTTGGAAAAACGTAGTATTTGGACTGATTTGGGGCAAAACTTGGGAATGATTTTATTAATTGAAGTTCTTGATGCTAAACACTTACCAAGGTATCATGGATGTATCTTAGACCTTTATTTCACAAATGAACCATGTTGGATAGCTTTCTTGTTAAACGATTTGAATTGGGAAATGAAGTCAAAAGACAGGTTGCTTTAGAAATTTTCCTGAACATTGGATGATTAATTAACTATCTTTCCGAAGGTATTTTTCCCTTAAATTTGATAGAGAGATGCCTTTCATATAGGAGTAACATATTGCAAAATTTTATACCAATCCAAGTTCGTTTTGACTCTTAGCTAAGGTTCCAATTTTGAAAACTCAAATCTGGAAATTGTTCACCAGACTTGAATTTTCCTAACTTTGAGCTACCGTATCTCGGTGCTCGAAACTCCAATTTTCAATCCGTTTGTTCTGCCTAAACCTTACTTACACCTCTAATTGAGTTATAAATTTCAAGGGCTAGTTTGCAACGAGTGAATTTTTCCGAATTTCCAAAGTTAGCGAAAAACCAACCCCGGCTTAATTCTGAATGTTCTGGAACAGCAATTTCATGCCCATTTTTGAATACCTTCCACTTAGATTCATGGAAAAGTGTCTTTAAGAACTTGTAGTACTTTCTAAGAGGTTTCCAACGGTACCAAGTTTTATAATTTTGGACCTACTGAGTGCAAGATCTGATTTTTCTAAATTTGACGCGCAAAGCTGAAATTTGCTGATTTCTTAGAAAATGAAAATTTGAAAACTTGTTACTCCTTCTTGATGATAATTGATCGCTTAAACTTGATTTCATGAAGGAAATCAGTTTTTCTTGTGCTAATAAAACCTCACTTTTGAACCTTTATTTTGAGTGGCTAAGGTTTTGGTTTGAGGTATTGACTAGTCCAAATAGCGTAACTCCTTTCTTGATTAATACGTGATTGTGAGTGAAAAATACTTGTTAATTGCTTCAGGTGCTCAAGCGAGTCTTGAAAAGAATCCCGGAGGGGACAACTAAGATTTTCTCGCTCAATTACTTTTGAATTGGTGAGTGTCAAGTGCATGACTTGTCGTGTTTACTTGATTTACCTGCTTATATACGTGAATATCACTTGATGAGACGAGTGTGTACTTTATCGCACTCGCTCTCCTTTACTTGCACTTTACTTGTATTAACTTGGTTTTCAAAGTCGATTGAGTGAATCTCGTCGATTAAAATATCGGCACAAAATCCAGGCCCAACAGAATTTTTGGAATGTTGGCGGCACGAAATCCAGGCCCAACTTGATTTTTGGAATGTTGGCGGCACAAAATCCAGGCCCAACTTGATGTCTGTGAGGTTGGCGGCACGAAATCCAGGCCCAACTTGATTTTTGTGATGTTGGTGGCACTAAATCCAAGCCCAACGTGACATTTGTGATGTTGGCGGCACCTAGTCCAGGCCCAACGTGATAAAGTGAAGTTGGTGGCACGAAAACCAAGCCCAACGTGATAAAGTGAAGTTGGTGGCACGAAAACCAAGCCCAACGTGATAGAGTGATGTTGGCGGCACGAAACTCAGGCCCAACGGGATTTGGTGATGTTGGCGGCACGAAACTCAGGCCCAACGGGATTTGGTGAATGGTCAGTGGGATAAGACCCAGTCCTGCCATCCAATTGGTCAAGAAATTGAATTTGATTTGTCAAGAAGCAAGAAATTAAATTTGACTTTCCAAGAGACAAGAATTTGAACTTGATTTTTGATTTTTGACTTTTGAATTTTTCGGATTTTTGAAAATTTTTCGAATTTTCGAATTTTTGATATACGGGAGAATGATTTGCCCAAAATTCAATTATTGTGTCACCGATCCTTCGATCTGCTTTATGATATTATTATTTTTCCCTCAAAACTTTGACTCAGCCCTTTTCCTCAGTTCAAATTATGAATATGCAGTTCTTGGACGACATCTCACAGTTCAAAATTTGCCCCAGTTGCGGTATTTGAAATGAGCATGGACCTGCAAAAGAAGTAAGCAAGTAACGCCACCACCATCCGATCAATTCCTCCTTCAAGAAATGTGTAAACATGAGTGCTTCGATGTTTTCCCCTTGATATTTTGAAAACTCAGCGTTGTTTTTTTGTGATCTGATCAAATTCCATTGACTTCCAATGCTAATAAGGCCCTTAGTGTCCAGGGATTTCCGATAAATCAGGGGGGTTGCCATCTAATGAACTCAAAGAGATAAATAAGACCACGAAACTCATGAAAGAATATCTTATTTACACAACAAATGATGAAAATCATTTATTTTTTATTGAAAGAAAATTAATTTTAAAGAAATGAATCTTTAATTCGACAATTTACGCTTGAAAAACCAAAGTATTCCGACTTCAAACAAAATGCCACGCTTGACCCTTTAGACATCATCCGCCCTGAGTTTAATATCGGCAACAGAAAACCACAATGCAAGGAGGAATCTCAAATGAACCGAATCACCAGCTCTCTAATTCAACCTCACTTTTTCTCATGAAACTCTACCTTAGCGCCCCTTTAGGTTTTCACTAAGGCCATTCCCACTTTTTTCATTCTTTTTGCTTACTTTTTCTTTCTTTCTTTTCTCTTCTTCTTCTCTTTTCCTTTTCTTTTCACAGGTCCCCTTTTCGGATTTTCACCTGATGAACAAATCCTGCCAATAGCTTTTACCAACTCAAAAAATGTGTTTTAAGAAATAATGGCATCAGTGCGACAACCCCTTCCCTTACAATATGAGTGAAGGCGTATTGACATCATTTGCCATGTGACTTAGAAAATTTCCTTAAAAAAGGTAATGCCAAGAACGGAAGCCAGGACTTTTTGGCTTTTGTAATGGGGTCTGGTGAGGTGCTAGGAAAGGTTAAGGCTTGAAGACAGACTTCAAAAAGTAGTTCAAAAGATCTGAGATCGCATTTTCGTGTTAACCCTATTTTAGGGTTAAACCAAAACTTGCCCCAGTCTATTTTCAACTGAGATTCTCTTTCTTTCACTTTCTTTTCTCTTTTTTCTTTCACCCATCTTTCAAAATTTTGAAAATTTGCCCAGTTTATTTTTAACTGAGGCATTCTTTTGTTCATTTCCTTTTCTTTCGACTTTCTTTCAAAAGTTGAATTTACCCCAATGTGGGGTTTTCTCTCTTTTCCTTTCCTTTCAAACTAAATTTGCCCCAGTGTGGGGTTTGCGATTCTCAGAGGTTGTCAAATGAAATGATCTATTCTCCAGGCTCAAAAGGGATAACTAGGGATATAATGTCTTAATGGGAAAAGAAAAGGGCCTGACTCTCATTCCATTCTTCACATTAACTCTAAAAGAAAACTTTCATTTATCAGATGAAAATTTCTTACACATCTCCGAGTTGATTGATTGAGGGAACAAGTGCTCCACCAGGCGATACCCTTTTGATGATAAGAGCACCATACCCATTTGCGGCAAACTCTCCTTTTGGCTTCATTTTGTACTGACGAAACTCACCTTAATGCTTTGTCTTCTCGCCTGAATGATCCTGATTTGTCCCTTTAAGAGTAATCACGGACCAATCCTTTCGATCATATTGACCATGATGGACAGTGTTTAACTGCTTCTTATTTCTAATCTCGATCCTGATTCTGCTTGAACTTCTTCTTTTTTTTTTCAGTCAGGCTTCTTTGAAACATTTTCGAATGTCTCTTCCCCTACTCCTTTCATTTGGAAATTCAAATTCACATTCGTGAGATCGCTGCCATCAAATTTCTGAACAGTGATATCCAAAGGGTCAGACGATTTTATTCTGGGCCATCTGAAAAGAATGTGTAAGTCACAATATATAAAACTGTACATTTTATTGAATTTCCAGACAAAACCAAACTTATGAAACGTGTCTTTGGCAGTCACTTGATTGAAAACTATTTACAAAAAACAAAAAAAAAAAACATAGTTAAACAAAAGACACATGTATGAACGATTTTCATTGGTTTTAACCAAAACAACTCCCCAAATTTATCGAAATTCCCTTCAAGGGAGAGGAATCTCACTAATTCAGCCCATTCCAGGATTCTCAAATTTCTTCATTGGGGTTGGATGCCTCAAAGGCGTCCTTGTGTTCGGGAAAGGGATTTGTACTTATGCTCTGTCCCTGTTCACCCTTTTTCCTTAGCACTATTTCTCCGAATTCGATCATATCCTGGATTTCATGTTTCAATGCCCGACAATCATTGGTGGAATGCCCGGGAGCTCCAGAATGATAAGCGCAGACCGCTTGAGGGTCATAGTCAGAAGGAAAGCGATTGGAATAGATTTTAGGAGGTATAACACCAATTTTCCCAACAGCTTTTAATTGCTCATATAATTGGTCAACAGGCCGACCTAGATTGGTGAAGGTTCGGTTTGATGTTGAATTTTGGGTGTCACTGATTTGTTGGTAGTAGTAATTTGGGCTAGGGGGTGGAATAGGTCTTGGGTTAAAAGGAGGGCGAGGTCTAGTTTGGAGACTTGGTTGAGGATTTTGAAAGGGTGGTGTGAGTACATTTGGATAATTTGGTCGAGGTCGAGAATGGTTAATAGTAGTATGATGGATAGGACGGAAGTTTGGATAGCATGGATAGGGTGATGAATAAGCAAGGCGGTTTGAAAATCTAGGTCTGGCCGAGGGGCCCTGATTCCCAACAAAAGCAGTTTCCTCTTCTTTTCCCTTAGATTGGGATTTTTTCCCACTGACATTCTGGCCTTGCAGAGCCTCTAGTTGCATCTTCAATGTTGACACATTAATAATTTTTCCGGCCTTCACAAACTCATCAAATTCTTCCAATTTATTGACAATTTCGGCAAAGGAACACCCGGTCATTCGAAAAATTTCCTCAAAGTAAGGCGGGTCATGAGCTTTGATGAACGTGCGAACAATCTCGTTTTCAGTCATAGGAGGCTCCACCTTGGCGGCCAATTTCCTCCATCTCTTCGCGTACGTCTTGTGGTCCTCAGATGGTTTTCTTTTAGTCCCCTCAAGTGTGGCCCTCGTTGGAGCGAGCTCGCAATTGTATTCGTATTGCCTCATAAAAGCAGTTGACAAATCCATCCAAGATCTCATATCCTCAGGCTTCAAATTGGAATACCAATCCAACGCGTCACCTTCTAAGCTTTCAGGAAACAAACGAACTGGTAGATTCTCGTCATCTATTGGCTTACCCAACTTGTTGGCAAACATTCGGAGGTGCGTCTTGGGGTTGCCCGTTCCATCATACTTGCTAAACTTGGGGGTTTTGAAACCCATGGGCAATTGCATATCCGGAAATAGGCACAGCTCGTTGTAGTCCAACCCTCCTTGTTTGTTCAAGCCTTGGCTTTTCCTTATGAAATCCTCAAACCGATCCAATCGCTTTAGCAAATTCTTATCCACTGGTGCGGATGACTCCCCGGCTTCAATTTTCCCTTGAGCAGCGGTATCTAGGGTGAACGGCTCAGCGGTGGGGTAATAATAAGGTCCCCGTGGCTCGAATGCCATGCTCATAGTAATTGGCGGATAATTTTGGGGAATTTGGACATGAGGAGGGTTTGTTTGGATGTGAGGTACATGAGCAGGTTGCGGGCCATGAGTGGAATAAGTAAAGGCTTCCTCAGGTGGGTTTATGACTTGTGAAGTAACAAAGGTTTGAGTATAAGGTAAAAATATGGGTTGAGGTCCAGATTGGCCAGGAGGTAAGGGCTCATGTTGTTCATCGCTAGCACCACTAGCTACCAATTGATCGATTATGCGCCGTTGGGCCATCATTTCAACGCTCAGCTCATTAAATCGGTTTAGAACTTCGCTCAGTTGAGCTCCCATACTTGCCAAGTCAGTCGGTGATGTGGTGGCGGGCCTATCAGACGATTCTGGATGGGTACTCATGTTTACACTATCTCTTGAAGCTCAGCTACGCGATCGGGTGATAATGGGGCTTTTCGGGTAGCTATATACTACCTGAGAATGTAGGAAAACCCTTATTAAATGTCCTTCTTGATTGACTGTTGTCAAAAAGAAAAGAAAAAGGAAACGAAAAGGACAGGAGTTAGTAAAAATTAAAATAATTGGGATGCATGTCCTATGGGGGAACCCTTTTTGTGCCAAGGGTAGGCCTAGCATGAAAATGTAATCCTCCAGAGCAGGCACTATACAATACCTGATGGATCCAATCAGCTTATGGAGTGAAAAATAATTTTGAAAGAATTTGGTCAATTAGGGTGACGAGAGATATTTATCAAAATGAGGTCAACGTCCGAATGGATGGATCACTTTTGATCGGTACAAAAATTTGCAAAAACGCACGGGTTTGACCTTGACGAACTTCCTATCGAAAAGATTGGAATTCGTTGATAAAATTTCTCAGCGAATTACGGGTCAAAACCCTAATTGATCAAGTGGTTAGATGCAATGGACGGTTTTCTTCAAAATTGACTAGATTTTCCAATTTGGAATTTGACAATGAAACCCTAATAGGGCAAATGGGTTGAATGAAATTTAAAATCGACCGAATTACCCTAAAAAGGGGAACAAGTCAAATGAATTGAATGAAATTTATCCAAAATTAATCAGATCACCCTAAAAAGGGTAAATTGATCAAATAGATTGAACGACACTTGTTTTATTCAAAATCGGCTCGGTTGCCCTGAAAATGGGTAAATTGGTCAAATGAATGAAATTGAATTAGGGATTTATTCAAAAATCGGCCGAATGACCCTAAAAAGGGTAAATTGGTCAAATGAATTGACGATTTATTGAAAATCGACCAGGTAACCCTAAAAGGGTAAACTGGTCAAACGAATTGACGATTTATTGAAAATCGACCGGATGACCCTAAAAAGGGTAAATTGACCAAATAAATGGACGATTTATTCAAAATCGACCGGATGACCCTAAAAAGGGTAAATTGGTCAAATGACCCTAAAAAGGGTAAATTGGTCAAATGAATGGTTTATTCAAAATTGATTATGAATTGGCAAAATGGATCGATTGAATCATCCGGCCATTAGTGATTTCAGAAAATTAGTTTATGAACCTTCTAAAATCAAGATTTGGCCTCCATATTTATCATCTCAACCATGAGAAATCACTTGTGAATTTTCTTCGAATTAATGTCCTTCACGCAAGGGATTTTTACCAATTTTTGATAAAATGGCCAAAAAGTGATTATTAGATGCTCATATTCCAAAGATCACTCTATGAAAATAATCGGATCCTACCTTACCTTGTGCACTACCCCTTTGGATGGTACAAAATGTAAACGTGCAAGTCTCACTGGATTAAGTATCCGAGACACGAGGTGGCTTATTCCTAAACACGGGATTCCCTATGTGGCATTCCCTTTCTATGGTTTATGCATGATGCCAGTTTATTAAAGCTATGTAAATATGCAATTTAAATTAAACGTGAACTAAGGAACCCTTTATCTGCCAGGGTAAGCCTAAAGTGACATGGCATTATTAATTTATGAACAAAGAATATCACAATTTTCAAGCATGCAATAACCTATCTACAAGGGTAGGTCCTAAAAGAGGATCGTGCCAGACCTCTTATTTCCTAACGTTTGTGAATGCAAAAGACAAAAGACAAGGAAACGTGAGTTCAACACATAACACATAACACATTTGGACAATTAGATAATATAAAAAGCAACAGAGACAGATAAGGAAAAAGGGGTGGGACCCCTCCCCTCGTGAATAGTGTTTCCTAATTTAGGGTAAGGCCGATTCTACCCTAGGCAATGCTAATATGGATGCATGAGGCTGGGGTTCGCTAATGCATCTAGACTTGATGAGCTCAGGTCCCCGAGCCTTCAGACTTAGAAACCAAGGGTCATCAATCCCAAGGTTCTTTGTCGGTGGCTCGAGCGATTCCTCAAACACCGCTACGCACACATCGTGTCACGGCTACGTGTTTGAGTGAATCTATCAAAACCTCAATCTTCGACCAAAAGCTAAAGGCTATCAACCAATAGCTTTAAGTGGAAGATTGAGTGACCCATTGGAACATGCTACACACACATCGTGTCGTGATCACATGTCCAAGTGAGTCACCTAATCCTAATAGGGTGGAGTGGCGTGGCAAGCCACTAAAAGAAAAATAAAGGGATAAAAGAAGTAAAGCGTATGCTCGTATGTTAGTACTCGTTCGGAGGGGAAGGGTCAAGAACCAACGCGAGGCTCTAGGGTGACCCATACCTCCCAAAATGCAATGCAAGCGCGAGATAACAAGTAAACATTCATTCAAACATACATTCGTGAGTCGAGGGATTGGTTTGATTACGTACATAAGACAAAAGGTCCTAAAAATGAAAAATGCAATCTAATATCCACATGCAATGCATAAAAAGGGTAGAAAAAGGAAACGAATGGCTAAGTCAAATGCTTGGACCCACTTAGGAAGTCCCCAGTGGAGTCGCCAACTGTCGCGCCCCACTTTTCGAATGAATTGTGTGGTGTGTGAAGTGTGGTGTGAACGTGTGCAAAATGAAAAGTAAATAGGCCATGGGACTTTGGAAAGCGACGATTTGGCCAAATGAAAATTTAAAAAGGGTTTTTTAAATATGAAAACGGAGTCGCCACTTGGTATAGATTTGGGGTGTACCAAGTCACCCAAAAAGTGTTTATAAAGACAAAGTAGTAAAACCCTTTTTAAAACGACTCCTAGTCCACGTAAGCCAAAGAAAAAGGTTCGGGGGTCACGTTTGACAAAGGGGAAGGCAAGGATAAAAATCCAAGGCACCCCTTTGACCTAGCCAAGGCTAGTTGCGCGACTTAACCTTACCTTTCCTAATTTTCTACCCAATATATGTTCGCACGTTGGATATGACTATATGAATGCAAAACGGAAAGAAAAATGCAATCCTAAATTCTACGATGTCTCTCGTGAGGCTTTTGGTCCCAAACCACATGAATTGTGGCGGCCAACAAAGGAAAACCCCATAGAGGTCGATTAATGCAAATGAGACCCAAATGTGCAAGTGTGGAAGTGTATGAAAAGGTGCACGTGTGCAATTGTATGAAAATTCCAAGTGTTTGTGTGCAAGTGTATGAAATATAGTGATAAGTACATATAGGTGTAATTAAATGCAATTTTGTGAAGTAGAAATCAAAATGAACAATAAGGAAAGGAAAATGTGAATTGAAAAGAATGAGTGAGTGATAAATGAGAATGAATGAACCTAAGGGAATACATCAGGTCGGGTATGGGAGTGACTCCTAACTTGTCGACTTCGATTTTTCCTTTGATTAGAAGGCAAAACTAGCGTGCTAAGGCTATCGAGTAGCCACACTCGCTCGTTTCCCTTATCAGAAGGGGACCCTCAAGCAAATGGACCCTACAACTATCATGATATGCAAAAATCCTAAAATGAAGGGAAAGGGGGTTCGAGGAGCATGCCAAGTGATAAAACTAAGAAAAATGCATGATATGTGGTGAAAAAGCAAATGATATGCTAATGAGGGGAAATCCCTAAGGGTCTAGCGTTGGACTAGCCCATTCTATGAATTCCGACCAGCGTTGGACTAGCGGAAACGTACATTCATCCATTCCATTCATTCATGGCCATGAAAGCAAGTAGACATGCCAAAATACTCGTAAACACATAGCACATAGCATTTAGCATGCTCGACTAGATGCAAGAGCCTAGTAAAGCAATTAAACATGTAGCAACAAAAACAAGCAAGCAAGGGGAAGGGAAATGGACCAGATGCTCTCCGAGCCCTATCTATTACAAGCCAAGAGGTGTACACATACCCCATAAAAGCATAAAGGGGAAGGGGAAATGGACCAGATGCTCTCCGAGCCCTATCTATTACAAGCCAAGAGGTGTACACATACCCCATAAAAACTTAAATAAAAGTAAAAGTAAGTAAACGCATGCAAGGAGGTAAGGAAAGCGAAGTAGACAGGCATATTCACATAACACGTAGGAGCACATAGGGTCAAATGAAGTGCAAGTGAGGGATAGAGTGTACCTCCCTTGAAAGTGGGGCCCAATGAAGTGAAATCACTTATTTATCCTCCAAAATAAAAGAAATGGTCAAGGTACCAATTTATTTAAAAAAATGAAAGAAAATGTGCAAAACCAAGCTCACTTGGTCATGAAGTTCACAAATTCATGCATGAAGTACTACCTAAGCAAAATGAAAGCAAACGAGCAATCGAATTGCAAAGTTGAGGCTCCAAGGACTCAATTGCGAACACTAACCAAGCATTCAAGCCTAATCAAACCCTTTTAGGAGCTTCAAGGGTCTAGGGACAAAGAAAAGGGCAAGTAATGGTTCAAATGCAAGTATCTTAGGACCTAATTGCAAGAACATGGAATGTAATTGGGCCATCATGCATTGCTGCAAAAATACAAGGGATCCAATTGATTAAATTTCCAAAGTTTTTGGGCCTTAGTGGCTTAAGGGGAGACTTGGGGCTCAAAGTGCAAGTTTTGGGAACTTTTTCATGCAACCCATGCAAGCTACGTGAGAAACATGCTGCAGCAAAATTTTACAAATTGATGAAGCTATATGCGGAACTTTGCTACATAATCTTTAAACACATGGTTCAGCAATTTCAGCACAGCAGATTCATACACACAGCTTTGCAATTACTCCAATTAAGAAAATGCAAATAATTGGCAGAAATTCATGCACTACTGCAATATTTCCTTTTACTACAAAAATTGCAGCTTCAAAACGCTGTCTTAAGCACCAGCAAAACAGCAAGACAACCTTCGGATTCTTCTAACATGGACCACCAAGAATTAGCATCAAACGGATAAGATGAATTACTTCACATCAGCCAACAAAATTGCCAAGACAGGGGCGTGCGAAACCAGAACCTCAATCATCCCAAAAAAAAATCAGTTCTGTCTAACCGCTGCAACAACCAGAAGCTACGAGCTTGTTGCTCGTTGCAGCAGATTTCCGTGCACACATCCCAGCCGAACACAGCTTGAAACCCAACAAAAAGCTCACCAAATGTGCTTCCCGCATCACCAAGAAAACCAGAATAAAAAACATGCAAAGTTGGAAAATTTCTGCGGCTTCACAATTCAACCAAAACAGATTCATGCGAAGTAATGAAATGAATGCTTAGTGATTTGTCTACTCAAACTTCCCAATGTCACGACCTCCAACCCGGGTTATTAACACTCCAAACAATCATCTGTTCCCCCAATCAGGCATACAACTAATCACAACCACCAAAATCAGTGCAACAGAAAGATGAACGTGGGTATTAAATGTTGGCAACAGCAAAAGCAACCTAAAACCCGCATCTAACTAGCTTAAATCCCTACACTATTATGTAAAATGAACAAAAGGAGAGACTACAGTTACCTGAGGAAGATTTCATGGCCAGTTGAACGTGAAATGTTGTCGAGGGGATGCACACTGATTGCAGAAACGGGATTAATAATGCCGCCGCAGAACTTCGGCACAGATGGAGTCATCACTTTGGCTCCAGATTTGGCTATCTTTCTGTGGTTTCCCCTTCAAGATTTCTGAATGGAAAACACTCCCATTACGCTGTAGATGTTCCAGATTGTCTAAATCTACAATAAGGGGCCAAATCCATAGAGAAAATTGCCTCCAAAGATAACAGAAAGTCAGCGTGGATAGCAGATTTTCTGGAAAATTTCCTCTTCTGGCCGCCGCTCTTTTCCCTCACCTTTCTCAGTTTTTCTTTCCTAACTCTCTCGGCTCTCTTCCCAGTTCTCTTTTTGTTTCTTGCTCAAAACCCAGCCGCCCCTCTCTTGCTCTCTTTTCTCTCTTCGAAACCTATCTCCCAAATCCTCCCCCTGGCTGCGGTTACTGCCCAAATGCCGAACACCTTCACCGACACCGTTAACTCTCAAAACTCTCCTGGTTTTTCTTTTGCTTTTTCCCTTTTCTCTTTCTAGATTTCTGGCTGTCAATCTCTAGCTCAGCTCTCCTTTCGTTTCTTGCCCAAACCCTTGCTCAGTTTTCTGTTTGCCTGTCGATGCCCCCCCCAAAAAACTCCCTCTTGCGGCTGATGTTTTCTTTTTTTTATATGAAACTCCAAGGCCCTTAAACCCTCCACTGAATGGTCAGGATGAAGGCCAGCCTCTGCCTTCATCCTGCCCTTCAATGGCACGTACGAAGTTAGCCCTTTGCAAGCTGCCAAAAATGCAGCTTGCAGGCCACGATCCCTTTTTTTTTTTTTTTTTTTTCAAGAAAACTAATACAACTTGATAATTACAGAAATGATAAAATAAATAATAACAAAATTACACAAACCAGGTAATAATAATTATAACAAAACAAAAATAATTTTAAACAAAACACTAAGCAAAAATGGCCATTTTTTAATTTTCAATTTTTCTCTTTTCATCATTTTCTTTCTCTCAAAATAACTTAATAAAAATAACTAAAGTGCCCAAAGATTGAATTTAAAGAAATAAACATATTTTGGTGAACAATTTTTCCTTTTTCCTTTTTCCTCTTTTTTTCATTTTTCCAATCCATCTAAAACCTATTTTTTTGAATTTTTCTTCTTTTCCTCTTTTTCTTTAATTTCTTTTTTCTCCTTTTTATGATTTTGCATTTTCATTTTTCTTTCAAGAAAGCAAAAAAAACAAAATGACTAAAATGATTTTTCTTTTCTTTCTAAAAACTCTATAAACTTAAAAACTAAAAAAACTAAAAACTAAAATCTAAAACTTAAAAGTGATTAAAAACCTAAAATGACAAAATAAAAATGAATAGACAAACTAAAAGGGCAAAATGAATAAAACTAAAATAAAATAACAACTAGAAATGCAAAACACACAACAATGAACTAAATGCAAGCGATCTAAAATAAAAATCATGAAATAGATGCCACATACAAATTATTCAAAATTTGGTGTCTACAAGTACCATACTCGAGCTCGAGCTCGAAGGTTATGAGTACTGCTCGAGCTCGAACAAGCCTCAAACTTCAGACTCGAACTCGACTCGATGTAATTAAAGATAACTCGAGCTCGAACTCGTATAAGATTCGAGCTCGAGTACTCGAACTAAGCTCGTAAAATGAGCTTGAAAACATTTGTTTTCTAGACCAGAATTCAGCAAAAATTGAAAAACAAGTGATTCCTCTAGCAAAACCTTTGCCAACAGGCTCAAGAGAAAACAAGTGATTCCTCTAGCAAAAAAAAAAAAAAAAACCCTTGCTTGTATCCAATTTATGAGAAATTGCACAGAAAGACAGAAATAACAAATCAATCTTTAACCCAAAATTCTCTCTTTGAAGACTCTTCACTAAACAGCCAGTGGGTGGCAGAGATTCAAGAGAAGGAGAAGAAAAAATAAAAGGTCGGAGAAGACGAGGAGGCTTTCATATCAGACGCATGGGTTGTGGTGACCAAATCTAAATACAGTAACCAACAATTCAGCAAAAGCTTAAAATACAAATTTTCCTCACGTTTTCCTTACCAGTATGCTTAAATGCTTAATACATAAATTCGAAAAGGAGATAAGGAGATTCTGAACTTGCAGATGGATTCAAAAGCTACCGGCGATGGATAAGCAAATCAATAGCTGCTCTGGGAAGCTTCAACGAGCTAGCAACAGAGACACGACTTGGGAGTTGGAAAGAGGAAGAAAGGCTCGATGGGAAATGGGAAGTGGGAACTGGCTGAAAGGCTAGAAAGGCTAGAAAGGTTCGATGGGAAGTCTGGGCAGGCAGTGGGAACTTGTTGACTATTCTTTTTAGTATAATTATCACTTCACCCATAATTATTCCTCAGAATTTATTTACTTATATTAGTAATTTTATATATAATTTTTTTTTTAAATTTTTTATGCGATACTTGATAGAGCTCGTCGAGCTTTCGAGTATCAAATTTATGGGCTCGAACTCGACTCGATAGCTCTATCGAGCAGCTCGAGATCGAGCTCAAGCTCGAGCTCGAGCTTCTGACCGAGTACATATCGAGCTCGAGTCGAGCTCCTCGACTCAGCTCCACCCCTATTTAGCACACATGCTTAATTACAGGAGGGCATCTGCCCGGCAGGTATGATAGGACTGGATCACTAGAAAATGACCGATCATATCAGCTCTTGCTGGCGCTGCTAATGGAAGCTCCCTTGTGGCGATGTCAAGAGGTATGTTTGTGTAATTTGTTGTCTGACATGTGTGGATGGTTAGTTAATTGTGTAGTTTCTTTAGCTCATATTGACACAACAAGTGAGGAAGTTTACTTCAATGATAAAGCCAATTAGGTATGACCAGGGTTCAGAGGATAAGGCTTTTTTGTGTACTATTTGTTCTTTTTTGTAGTCCAGATCAAGGATTTCTAAAATTTGTCAAGCTTCAATTAGGCATTCATTAAAAATGGGTAAAGGATAATGCTAAGATTCTTTGTTCATGTTTATCCTTATTTTATGATTAAAAGTTGGTTTTCTGAATTTTCAGTATTTAGGAGTATTTCAGTAATTTATATGTTTCTCAATTCTCAGGATTTTTCTGAATTTAGTATTTTGCTAATTTTGTCCTAAGAGTTGAATAAGGAATTTGTTTCTAATTTGATTAAGAAAGGGTCTCATTCCTATTTTGAAAAAGGGATGAATCCTAATCACAAGGGGTCGTGGGTAAGTATTCTCTTTGAGAAACAGAGAGATTAGGCTGTAACAAAATTCCTGTAGGTTATTGTCTTTTTATGGGCTCTAATAACGAAATCTCTGTCAAGTTTTAGGCCGAATATACTATCAAACCATTTTTGTAGTCAAATTTCTTGGATTTTGAGGAGTTGATATAATTATCACTATTGAGTTTGTTTCTCTTTTTACTCTTTGCTCCTTGTTTCTTGTTTTCATTTTTGAAGCGAATTTCTACTCACTGCTTTGCTTTTGGGCATGCAAACACTCCCTTTTTTTTTTTGGTTGTTTGTGACTTTTCATCTACTACTACTAAGGACTAAAGCTTAGCCAGGAGTGAATTTGCAATTGCTGGCTTTCAGTTTGACTCCTACATTTTTATTCGATCAAATCCTATTGTGAGAAGCGGATTCCATCCCGTGTGCATATTGTACAGAAAAATATAAATTGTAGTCGAAATTTTGGGGTCTAGGTCAAGAAGGAAATTATGGTTTCACCATTATCAATAAACTATGATTAATTATCAGAATACTTCCAGAAAAGTCCCTAGATTCTGCAAGAAAAAAAAAGAAGAAAAAGAAATTGAGTGGGAACTGGGAAGGTCTGTCAGACAACTGCAAGACCACCCTAGCCCGTGCTGAAGCAAGGACTAGGAACGATCCTCTACTGCACTTGCCACCCGACAACCGGGCTGCAAGGGTTGTTAATCACGCTCTGGTCAAGCAGTCGTATTTCATCCACCAGACTTGGTTTCCTGTCTCCTTAGAACTCAAGGACACAGAGGTACGAGCCTATAGAACAGATCCTGTTCAAGTAAGGTCGTGGCCTCTGTGCTCCAATCTTAGACATATAAAGGTGCATGGCTCAATCAATTCGTCGATGTGGGATATTCGTACGTTGTCAAAATTCCTTATAAGTTTACTGTTTCAAAATTCTTCTCTGTACTACTTAATTGCATATTACTGTCATCTCTAATCCCTAAAAAAATTTGTTCTACTGCATCAGATTTATTAGTGGGAACTCATTGTTGTGTTTGTTAAGTTGATCTTTCTTTTGGATGAACATTTGCATGTTTTTACAGGTGGTGGAGCTCGATTTTCTTTATCCAAGCAAGGGTGTTCGTTGTCGAATTTCATCAACAGCTGCAACCAGTTATCAAGTCACTCTTATTGGAACTTTTGCTGTCATCTAAGTTTCCATGCAAAGTCACTGAGGTAAATATTATTTGGGACTTTGCATTTCTAGACTCATAATCTGGGAGATTGAAATAGCTAATTTGAAGTGAGGACTCCTATGTGAAGTTTGTTTTCTGTTTTGTTGAGCAGGAGAACCGGGCAAAAAATCTCTTCGTTTCTTGTTTGTGCTATGTACAACCATTGGAATCATTCTGATGATCCATTAAGATTTATCAGAGGCAGCAGATTTCGTCAGTGTGACAGATTTACGATAATGAGGTTAATCGATTTCTTGTTATCTTTCTCATGTTTCCTGTTTCCATTGGATTTTTTTCCTTTTCTAGTTGTCCAAATGCTTTTCTGTACTAATTGTTTCAAGTTGATTGCTGTCATTGATCATTGTTTCTTTCCTTTCAACAGAGGAAGTCAGTTACTTTTCTTTCCTTTGCAATCAGTTAGTTTGCTCGTTCAAACGAGTGTTATCGATTAGCCTTCCGAATCAAAAGGCTGGCATATTTTTTCAAATGTGGTAGCGGAAATATGTGCTTTAAGGATCTCGAAATTTTGTTAATGAATTAATTCAATCTGATTTAAAAATTTTGGTTCATGTTCATCCCATAAGGTTGAAGTCAGCTGCCAGCAGAGCCCTTTGGTAGCAAGCTCTGTATGCTTTTGTAAAGGAGGAAGGCAGTCTTTGGAGTGTGTAAGCTAAGAGCAATTTGGTATAAGTTGAGATTATTGTAACAACTGAACCTCTCTATCTCAGTAATTTTCCTTCATTTTTCTCCCTCAATTCTGTTTTTGTTCTTCTTGAATTCTGTTCTGTTGATCCATATATTCTTGAATCAATTGAGTTCCGTGACAGATTTGTTTTGAGGTTATCAAAAATGGCAGAAGGTGCTCAATGAGATTTACGAACTTCCAATTACTACTTCTTGAAGTGCTTAAAAATTATATAAATTAGAAATTTGGTACCTCAACTTTGTAAATCTATTGCAGCTTAGTCCAAAGTCCAGATTTTTACTGCACTTTCAATCCTTAACCTTTTAAATCAAATAGGTTATCTTAAGGATATACAAGGAACACAAGTTTAAAGGAGCCAAAAAAAAAAGAGAAAAAGAAAACCATGGCTTTAGTATACATTAGCTCAACTCGAAATGTGAATCCGCTGATGCCTGTTTCCCAAGTAAATGTGAATCCGCTGATACCATTCCCAAATTTACTGTTTTGGAAGTGCCGCTACTGCACTGTCAACGATGAGTCTTCTAAATAAAAATGGCCGATTAATTGCTCTCAACTTTTCATGCAACTGTTAATTGCTCTGTTTTTCTTTTTTCTTTTTCCTATT